GTATCATGTATCTATGGCTTTCAAACTCCGTGGAAATACGGGAACTTTACAAATCCCTGTAGATAAATCTAGTATGGATCCCCGAAGGACGGAGTTTACCAGCTTATTATGTAATTGAGTACAAGTCTCTAGCGCCAATCAATCAATCTTCATACTGAAACGGAGAAAAGCTGTTTCATTCCAAAGTCTGTACTTGGCTTCGGTTCCTGTCGTTCTCTATGGGCGTCGTCTTGGCCAAGCTGGTGGAGTAGTGGACAGTGGACACAATGAAAAAGCCAGGACCACTGAGGAATCCTGATCCGTCGGAGATAACACAATAATATCCACTCATTCCATCTAATCAATCAGTGCGATAATCCTGCTGGACTCTTCATGCCTTTGCTACGGAGCCTGCGGTGCGAATTACTACAGCGAAGATGCCCAGTAACGGTTGCTGTTTCCCAAATACTCTCACTATTGTCGGAGCAGATTCCAATGTTCGGATGAAGAGGGCCAGTAGTCGGCCGGGAGTCGACTATTTTTGCACTTTTAGTCACGCAAAATGGTGCTTCATGAGTACACCCCGAAGGACAGACAGACCGTGGCAAAGGCAGTCCCATTAAAATCTGGATAACAAGGGGCATCTGTATCTGTCTTGCATTCTGGCAAGAGGGGTCTTGCTTTGAACGTATTAATAAACGCAAATAATAATATATTGGGTAATCGGTGAGACAATGGCAGATATCCAGTTTTAGCCTGGCCCTGGCACAACCCGAAAAACAAAGACTGGACAGTCTTCGGAATCAAATGGGCCCAAGAACTCCAAGTATAAGAGCTAATCCCTGTGATGTTTGCTTCTCAGAGCTATACAAATCTTGGAGCGATTCGAATTAGCCAGGAAATGAGAAGGCTGAACTTCTGCATGGCGGTCTTCTGTCTGCAGTCTTCGCGCAGGAGGGATATACTTCGAATTTTGGTTGTCGTATGGCTTTGCCTGTTCAGATAGAGATTTCTTGCAAGCGTTGGCCTCCTCAGCTGGAAGATTGTTGAAATAGCCTCACTGCGCTTAGCATTAAGGCGCGGAGTAAAGCTTAGGCGCTGTTCGTATGGTTGCTGACCTTCTAAACAGTCACAGAAACAATCCCATCCGAGCCGAAGCTTTATAGCCAAAACAGGCTTTGGGCCGAATAATTAGGCTTGAGCTTGCCTGTCAGCGGTACTGCCACCCTTTAATCTTGAAGACGGTTGGTAAGCGCCACGTCGGAGATTCAAAGCCAATCGGGAACTTAGCCTTCTTACATCTCGTGCAGTTCTGCAACAACATCGAGATTCCTCAGACCTGCGATAAGGATTATGGGGTACCCTCTAATCGGGCTACGCGCTGTTGCTATTTGGAGTGTCTCAATGTTATGCTCTTGAGCCTGGAATCTTTCTTCTACTCGTTCCACCAGATTCTTCAGGCTTCCCAAGGCAACACACAAACACTAGACGCCTAATTCAGGATGCCTCTAATACAGATAGATGGAGAGCCCGCTGTCAGAGGGTTACAAAGGATCCCAAATTGATTGGCTTCAAACGTGCCTTGAACATCTGGGCCTGTCGCTGCCTTTAGCGCCGTGCAAGAATCCTTGACCCTCTCTTTGTTTCCTATTGACACTGGCCTATTGAGTCAACCAGCCAGATGTTTCGAATGACGCATTATCTGAGGCGCACAACGATACTTGTTTCTACCTTGAGAATAGGCAGGTGCAAGGTCTGTTTGAAAAGAAAAGAGGAGATGGCACTGAAAAAGTCCCATGGTCTTTTGTGTTTCAATGCCCATTGTCTTTCGTGGATTGATTGCTTCACTCACCATTGTTTAGTCTCGCCCTCTAATCATTTCAACAAAGAATAATTGAGAATAGTCAGTGTGATTCGAGGTACCTGAGAACCAGAATCAGCACCTGAAAAGACGAGGGGGATTCACCGGTGATGGATTCCTAAAGCTTACAACTCTCCTGCTTACTCTATCGACGATTACACTGAGTAGAAAGCAAGAGATAAACTCGCTGGTTTCGAGTCAACACCGCTGGTCGGCGTCCTACTCTCTGTCACTATCGCTAAGTCCTTTGATGGAGCCAGAATATCATGCAAGCGCTGCGCGTCCTGAGTATGGCCGTTTCGAGGTTGCTGGTCTTCGCTCACATTTTCACAACTGTCGTCGCCCATACTTGGGTTGAACAGCTCATGATCATCGCGCCGAATGGAACCTTTGTTGGGTCTCCAGGATATCCTCGAGGAAATGTTCTTCGCACTGATCCCGGCTTCAACGACAAGGCCATGACCAATCTGATACCGCCTGATGGCCGGGCTAATCTAAGTCAAATTCTTCCGAGTGATCGTTTGTGCAAGGATACACAACAGAAACAGTCCCAGACCGAGGGTAGTCCAAGGCTTCAGGCCGGTCCTGGCGCCGCTATCGCCCTTCGCTTCCAGGAAAACGGCCATGTGACCCTACCCCAGAACCAGCCAGGGAAACCAAGGAATCGTGGGACGGTATATGTATACGGGACGACGGAGCCAAAGGACGACGAACGGCTTCTTGACGTACACAATGTCTGGAACAAGGAAGGCACAGGAGGTGACGGGCGCGGCGTCCTCTTGTCGATGCAAAATTTTGACGATGGCCGTTGCTACCAGATAAACAGTGGTGCGATCTCCGAACATCGCCAGGCCACGTACCCGCATGAGGCAAACCAACTCATGGGAGCTGATCTCTGGTGCCAACAGGACATTGCGCTGCCATCTGAAGCGCCAACCGGCAAGCCCTACACGCTATACTGGGTCTGGGACTGGCCTACAGCTCCGGGAGTGGACCCATCCTTGCCGAATGGAAAGCAAGAGATCTATACTACCTGCATCGACGTGGATGTGATTGATGGGCCTCCTACTCATGTCCGTATACCGGCGAACTACGTCGAAGATCAGTCCCTGAACAATGCGGCCATCCCATCTCAGTTTGCAGAGGTATTTGGAGTAGAAAGTTCCTCGTTCTCTGCGCCTGTCTCTTCAACATCTCCGCTGATTCCCACACCAACTGCCGTACCCAAGCAACCCACACTAGCGACAGTGACTTCTTTCATTACTTTGACCAAGACTGTTCACCCGAACGCCTGCCAGACCGGTCTAGGCTCGTCAACACCTAGCTCTTCCACGCCCAGATTCTCTGCTCCAGCTTGGAACTGGTTCCGAAAGCCTGTTTGATTCTTCAACAGCATTATTCTCAAGGCAAAGGCTCGGCAGGTCTGCGCTAGAGCTCTCGCTAGTCAGCCACAGCCGGTACTGTGCACCTTTCTTTTTGTCACCGGTTCTTCTTTGTTTATAATAAATAGAAAGCGTCTCCAACCCAGCAAATCAGTTGACGACTATCGTCTATGAGTATAAATGGTAGAAGTAGAGAACCATGTAAGCGCAATCTGTGTGGCTGCCACTCGCCAGGGGAATTGTCCTGTTCATAAATCTTTCAGCCAGCCTGACCATTCTCCAGCAAGCAAGGGCAACCAGTTTCGCATACCAGCCTACCATTAGGTTACATGCGAGAGAATGCTCGCCTTTGTTAAATGAGGCTTGGAGCCTGGACGAACGCAAGGGGACAATGAGGCCTCAGGCATGGTTCCAAGGTGGGAATAGATCAAGGGCACCATATTCCTGAAACACGCTAGTCCACGCGTGGTAGGTCACGTGAAGGCCCCAAGTCTGTGGCGGCGGAAGAAGGGAGGAAGCTGAGATGAGGAAATTGATTCATATTATTATATCTTTCCTGAATGACCGATTTGACATCTGTGCCATGATTTGGAGCCACTGAAGAAGTTCCAATCAAGATTCTGGGTTGACTTTTGCTACAACGTTCTTGTCTCTGCATGGCTGCGGTGCGAGTCAAGCCCTCTTTCTCCACCGACTGCGCCTCGAGGATCTTAAACGCTTTCGGGCCTTGAGTCTTCAGTACCTCGCAACAAGTAGGTAATCTCCGACCTCCTGCTTGGGTCCCGCCATCCATCGATCGTCCATTGGTCCCCTAATAATAAGAAGAAGAAGAATGATTATCATTATTACTATCACTTGCACTGGCAACTAAGCACAGTAACTCTCTCTACTTGTGGCTCTTCCTCCTTGCAACCCCTCCTCCCCCCTCTCTTGTCTCTCCTTCATCGCTCTCTTGTTGTTGTTCTTCATCATTACTATTGGTTGTTTTTCTTATTAACCGGGACCAGCTGCTGCTATATTTAGAACCTCCCACTTCCATCGCCTCTGTACCTTCAAACGACTCGACAAGAATCCAAACGCGGGACAAAATTCCTTCGAGTCCAGTATTATTGCCTCGACAGCAATCAACCCGCTATTGGTTGCAGGCTCCCCTTATATTTCTCTTTCTCAAAGGCGCCGACTGGGCTTAAGGCTCATTGCTCCATTGGTTCGGCATCTCGTCTCGAAAGACAAACTGAGGCGTTTTTGGGGGGGGCTTTTTTTCTACGAGATCAATAGCCGCGCACTGAACCTATTCGATCGTTGATTGTTGCAACAGTCACCAACTGAGGCACTGGAGACATTGCGAATATCCGGCGTCTAGAATCGCCTCAGGGGTTTTCCAAAGCGACATTGACTTGGAGAATCCGGATTACATTTTACCCCAGCCTCATACAGTCGGTGGTCCATATTGTGCTTGTAGGCAAGGAGCTCTTCAAGTACCTCTCAACCTACATGCTTTCACTCTTATTGCTTCCATAGTCCCCAGCCATCTGCGTCGACTGGATTATATTGGGAGTTTTCCTCCTCATATCATCGGGCGTGTTGCTGCGACCTAACATTGAGCGGAATCGGAGAGTCGACGACGCGATGCGAGACTAAAGTCCCAACGCTTTTTTTACCGTCGAACAATAATCGCCTCCTCGCCGGACACATCTTTAACTCAGATCGCTTTTCTTCCCGGAGAGAGCGTCCTCATACCCGTTATTATTTGTCGTACCTCTCAGCCTCGATTTAGCATGGCAACCCTAACCTCATCGGCTTCTCGGCCGCAGTCACAGGTGGTCACCTCGATGACGAACTTGTCGGTCCTACCTCCAATCATAACAGATGCTTCCGGGAAGACACAAATCGGGCAGCGGACATCCTCGTATGCGAAAGATCGTCTATCGACGTACTCGAATGTTTCCGCAACTTCTCAAAATCGCTCTCGTCCTGGTTCGCATGTGTTCCCAATCTTCCATTCCAGCTTGCCATATGCGCTCGTTCGGGATTTCGCATACCCCCCAATCCACCCACTTCATTACGGTCCTCTGCCACCCCGTGCCTCCGGTGTGTCCACTCCAGCAAGTGAGCATCGGCGCCTTTCGGACCCTCCCGCACCATGGGATAACTCGCGTGGTCAGTGGTCTTCGGGCCCTTGGAGAACGGACCAAAGTCATGGACAGCAGCAATTACCTGCAATGTCGTTTGGCGATGGGCCCCCTTATAGTGAAGATGAAGATTTGCATAGCCCAGTGTTCTCCGCGTCGCGCCACCGCAAGAATAAGTCGACAGGGATGAATGCGACTGGCCGAAGAACGAGAAGTCCCGGTCGCGGCCATCAATCTGCCTATTTCTCCGGTGACTCTGACCGAGGAATACTGGTCAGCATGAACGCGGACGGCAGTGAGACATATTATGTCAATGATGACGATGACGGGACAGATGATGGCCCCGGGGGAGAATATGTCACCTATCCTCCGAATGAGAGCCGACATTCTCACATGGGGAACGAAACTTACGGTGACTATCGGGAGCGTGAGCATGATGCGGGGTTCGAGTCTGAGGACGATTATTCCGGTGCCGACCGATACTCGGGCGATTTCCAGTTCGCGGTTGGTTGCCCCGATGAGGAGATGCATGGCAAAGCGGTTGCGCTGTTTGATTTCACCAGAGAACATGAGAACGAGCTGCCCTTGACTGAGGGACAGGTGATTTTTGTCTCATACAGGCACGGCCAGGGCTGGCTAGTCGCGGAGGATCCAAAGACTGGTGAAAGCGGTTTGGTACCAGAGGAATTCGTTCGGTTACTTCGAGACATCGAAGGTGGCCTGACATCGCTTAGCGTCGACCCAAGTCTGGATGCTGAGGAGGATGATAGCACATACTTGAGCCCGGACTCAACCGACTCAGAGCAGGCCATCACACCAACTCAGAATGACCAACTGCCTCTGAGCTCTGATAGGGGGTCTGTTCATATTGCCAACAGCGCAACGAATCTGGAGAGTTCCTCCGTCATCCCAGCTGGCGGTGGCGAGGCCGAATCGAACCCGTCACATTTCCTGCACAACGGACAGGAGATCGACAGCGCCCCACCAATGGAACAACGATTGTCAGAGAAACAGACGACAAAAAGGGAAAGCCAGATTGGTATCCTGGCGAAGACATGAGACATGTTCCTCAACGTTGGCCTCGCGCGTCCCGGATAGACTGGCTGCAAGGTGGGACACTTCCACCTTGAGTCTGCTGTGAGCGTTATGCGTTTACGACTCGGATCCGTTTCTAAAAGAAGACGGATTAAAAGATTCTTCATTCTTGGCTGCTAGCCTTGAATAGGCTCTCAGGATTGCACCCATTGAGCAAAGTGCCAGCTGTTGTCCAACCGCCCGGGAAGGCGATTTCGAAACGATACATAGTCCGGGTGACTCAAGAGCAGTGTCATCCCATATACATGACACGATATATTTCATGACGAGAATTCGCATCTGATAACCCGGTGGATCAGAGGTTGAAGATGCCTGATATTTGACAAATTGAGCTCTCAACGAAGGAAAGGGGATACGACTTCGCTTGTTGGCTTGAACAAACCAGTAAAGGAGAACAGGCATTGTTCTTCTTGCGATTTCTGGCTTGTAAATACTTGACTTTTTCTTTTTCTGCATGGTTTTACTGTCTTCAATATCCAGCGCCGGCGTCATCATCTGTGTCAGCATCTGTTCCTGATTCTTCAGCCTTAAGGGGCTCATTATGCATGATATGGGCTATACATTCTGTCAATCCTAGTCTCTGTGAGATTGGAAATCAATAAGAGATCAGCTAGTAACCAAGGTATACAGTAAATGGCGAGTGAATGGTGTATATACTTGAACCCATACGCCACAGAATCCAACCAGCTACCCAGTTCCAAAATAAAGTCAGTATACATCCGTCCCATCGTATCGCACCAAGTTCATCGCTTGAAATCCACCTCCGAACCGGGCAACTCGGCCATCCTCCCCATGGACCCAGGCAGCTCCGACAGTTTACCCGCCCCAAGAACCTTCCTCCCCTCCATCGAATCCCCCATCTCATGCACCGCCGCTTCCCCCTGCGCATCCATCTCCTGCCTCATCCGCCCACCCAGCATGGGAATCTCCTTTTCCTCCATCTCCGTCGCAGCACCCTTCCCTTCGGGATCATGCTCATCTTCACGCATCGCCGACCCCACAGTAGACGCTGCGCCATCATCAGCGCCCTCACCATCCCGCCGCACCGGTTGTTGATCCCCCGTCTGCTGGGCGTCCGCAAGCCGTCGACGCCGCCGTCGGAACCAGAAGATGAACGCGATGAGCCCGCCTAGCACCGCTGCGGCGACGACACCCCCGACGATCCCGCCGATCTGCGAGCTGGATAGTCCGTTCCCGGATTGTGATTGTGCGGTGGGGGTTGAGGGTTGAGTTGAATTGCTGCCTGTGCTTGTGCTTGTGCTTGCGCTTGTGTTTGTGTTTGTGTTTGTGGGTGTACTCGAGATGGGGAGCGTAGCTGTCCCTGCCGATGCGCTAGTTGAGGATGTGGACGTGTGGTTCGTCATGTTGGTGTATTTCACGCAGCATTGGATATTATTCGGCCCGGGACAGGGCCAGGGGTACTAGATACGTTTCTGTCAGTTGGCAATGAGGTTTTGCTTTGTGAGACGGGGCATGGATCTACCGCTGTGCCGGCGAAGTATGCGCCCTCCTCGCAGGTCTGGTTCGAGACGTCGCGGCAGTAACCTGTTCCTTCGGAGACGGTGCAGCGGCGTTGGAGGCAGCACTATGCGAGCATTAGTGTGAGGATAGGACAGGGAGAGGCAGGACTTGTCTTGCCGTGTAGTCGGACGGGTCGCTTTGGCATTGGCTTGTGTAGACTAGACCGACGCCTGGGCAAGTTAGATGGCTCTTCGCTACGGGGTATGGAGTACGGAGTATAGGTACATTGAGAGGCGGGGAGACACTCTCCGTCGCCAATACCGCCTGAGCAGGCATTGTATGCCTGGTTGACTTGACGGGGGAGTAATATGTTGCTTTCGAAGATGGGGTCGAGGAACATGATCGTGGTCGTAGAATGGATAGAGATAAAAGATGCCGAAACTCGATGGAATTAGTGATCAGAGGAAGATTCACTAGGAATACGAAGAGAACCTGATCTACCTATATGTCTGCACCGTAGTTAAGTGATCAACACCCCCATAGCTAAAAACAGACTTCAAGACTGACACCGAATCAATTACAGTTCACTTGTGCGGCTGAAACGTGCGAACCGGTCGTCCAGTCATAAACTGCGCCAAAGTCACAGAGCAAGGTAGACATCAGGGAGATGGGAATACAAGAGTACATTCCGTCCCTCGTCTCATCCCCGGGGTATCAACCACTCATTGGATAGCTTCAAGTCTCCTTTACCCGAGCCTCTCTGACGGGGGGTTACACAGCAAAGGAGGAGACTCGAGGGCCAAGATTCAAGAATGAGACAGATAACTACCCATGTGGTCCAGAGCGGGAATGCGACACAAGATGAGGACCTAGTGTAGACTAGTATTCTTGCCTACCAAGGCTACTCTGGACGCTGCGGTATGCATCGGAGGAGGCACTTTACCCTAAGCGGGTGCTGATCGTCGAGACAGCACACATTCTGGTGGGAAGGCTGCAGGGAAAATACGAGCCCCTGTCTAGGGCCTAACCGTCGAAGAGCCAATCTCCTTTGGCGATGATTTGATGGCCATAGTGGGAGGATTTCAGTTTCTATACGGAAAGCAGAGGCAGATGATCCATTCAGATGTCATGAATAACACCCAAAGAAGTAAAGGACTCTCTCAGCGGGGGTATTTAAATGGCGACATATTGAGGGCCACATACCCAAGCGAGGATGGTGTGCAGATAATCATCGTATCAAACAGATACTAGTAGTCGGGGTGCCAACCTTAATTCGACCATTTGCGTTCGAGGCCTTACAGCAGCTGCGCAGATCCCCAGATCCCTCTGGATGCTGGAGGGATGGGCTGAGGAAAGATTCAAATTGGCTTACTCCACAGCAAGGCATGCAGAAGATATCTCAAAAATAATACAGAGAGGAATGAGGAGACTGCGCTCATGGACAAATGATCTTTGGTGACTGGCCTAGAACGCTGTATATCGATTCCTACCAGAAATCAAACGAGAGAGATTGAGAAGATTTGCACTACGGAGTATCGCCTGGTAATCGAGAGAAAATACAGAAAAAACAAATAAAACCATCGGAGACGAGAGATAATTAGCCCAGCAAATCGTCAAGCCCCGAACTGCCAGTCTTCGTCCCTTGTTGCTGTGTTGATGAGCTCATCGAAGGAGGAGGAGAAGCTGGAGTGAGGCTGCTCGACGGGGCCGGGGTTCCCCAGATACCCGCGCTAGCTTTCTCTTTGGCCATACTGGCCAGATTGGGCCCCTTGCTTGCATTTGCGGATGACTTTTGAATGCCCGCAGTGGCACTGGCGGTCGACCAGAGAGACCCAAAAGCGTCACCCGACGACTTAGATACCGCCGGCTTACCACCCGCCGATGAAGTACTCCGGGCAGAAGAGAAAGAGGAGGTCGAGGGCATGCCTGGTCGATGGTTGGGTGTCATGGCCGTTGGTTGCTGTGCGGTGGCGGTGGTAACAGAGGTGAAGTAGTTGGGAGTGGCGGCCTGGAAGCCGGTCGGTTTGGGCTGTGCGGGCTTTCCCTGCTGCGATGGCGGGACCATGGAGCTCTGAGAAAGTGTGGGAGAGGCAACCGTGCTCGATGTCGGAGTCGGGGTCATTGACGTAAATCCGACCAAACCATCCAGGTTTGGCCCTTGCACCCCAGAAACGGGCCGAGGAGCAGCAAACTGAGTACTTGAGGTCGTACTGACCGTGGAAGCGGGCGCGGGAATAGCGAATTGGTTGGCTGCGGGCTGCGGTGCTGGCGTTGCGGACTGGAAATCATCAAACTCGTCATCGTCATCGACCGGTTTGGACTCGAGAATATCCAGGCCGTTACTGCTGGCAGGCTTCTTGCCAGCCGCAGTAGACGTGGAAGCAGCAGCGACCGTCTCTTCCTCGCCAAAGTCAAACAAGTCTTGTTGGGGCTCCTTGGGAGGCTCGGGCTTCTTCGCTTCCTGTTTGGGACGTGGAGGGCTGGGTCCGCGACGCTGCGCCGGGCTGGCGTCGCCCTCATCGTACTCGTCGTACTCCTCGAACCGGTTCCCTCTCCGGCCTGCATCCTGGAAGTCGCCAGAAGCACCTCCAAAGCCGCCGCCGTCACCATAGACTCCTCCACTGTATCCACCAAAGGACAGGCTATCGCTGCCAAATCCGCCGTACCTGCCGGTGGAACCGGGAAAGCCGCCCCCCATGCCACCCATCCCACCGGAGCCTATTCCGCCCTCAAAGCCACCAAATTTGTTGCGATTCGCACGGGCCTTCTTTCGCTCGGTGCGAATAAGATCCACATCACCAAGCAGCTTCACCAGCTCCGATGATCGGTTGCGCACGTTCACACCTTGGTCCTTGCCGTTCTGGTCGATGTAATGAAATTGGCGTAGCATCCGGATCAGGGACAGGTGAGACCGGGCATCGTCGACAACGCGCTCCGAGCCATTCTTTATCAGAAATTCTAGCAGCTGAAGACTCTGCATGACACAAAAGGACGAATCAGTCTGGCCGCTCTTGGGTGGACAACAACCCGCGTAATCGTACCTTGTAGATCTGTCGCCACTCCTCCGCGCTCTTGTCCGTGAATCGCTTGTAGATCATCGGCATAATTTCGTTCAACAGCTGGCTGTTAGCGACAGAGATTAGCATGGAGCCTAGATCCATCAAGTAATCGACATCGCGACAAGTACGGAGCGAGGGGGATAACTGACTAGTTGTGAGTTCCGTTGGCGATCTCCTGCATCAATGTAGTTGAAGCGCCCCAGGGTTCATTGTTCGTAGCTTCTCGGACCTGCTCGCAGTTAGAAACTTGCATACCAACCCGGACAATCCGTTATCGCGCTCTCAGGACAAGAGCGAAGCCGCCAATGCGACTGGCAGGGCGGTGACGACGAACCTTGGACTCCATCTCGGTGTAGTTCATGACAGCTAAGAAACAAGAATTAATACCAGAGCTTGCATTTCCATAGTAGACAACCGTTCAGGGCTAACGGAAATCTGGAGAGAAAGACGGGTTGCCAGTAGATGCTGCCTTGGAGTACCTACCATTCTGCACCTTGCGGACTCCCGCCTTGATATCATACAAGGTCAGGTTGCTGACCTGCTCTTTCAGACTGCTGAAATCCATGGCGCAGACTCAGCTTTTCCCGGTGAATTTGCACTCTTGATAAATTGACAAAACTTTTGAGGAACAAAAGAAAGAAAGAAGGAAGGACTAAAAATGCCGTATATGCAAGTACTTGAGGTTCAGGACGAGGGAGACGGGGACAACGAGGAGGCGGGAGTTCGGGGATTCCAGCTGGCATCCGCAGTTGGGGCCCAAGGCATCCAGCAAGTCACGTGTGAACCCCTGACATGTCCATTTGTCCGCATATACTAGAGATGTACATCATCATAGCCTACAATCGCATTATTGCCCTCTCGGCGGATGTGATGACTTAGATATCTAGATTGCCTTCGGAAGCTGCCGTATCATGTACTACTAAACACTATGGGACCAATACATACATAGAAGACTCGTCTAAATCATCACGGGGGAATCATCAATGGAATCAGTGAAAGGTAGGGTTTCAAGGAGAAGGCGGAATTTGAAAGGAACAAGCAACATGTAAAGACTTTGCTAGGGAATCGCGTGCCGACATGCCACGGCTTCGAAGCAGAAAAGAAGGAGAGTTGATCAGACATGAAGTGGATATCGCTGGTAAGAAAGGGTCATCATCAACTAAAGCATGCTGAACGGGCTCATATCCGCGGATGAGGAGCCACAGTACTGGTGGAATAAAATTGAATGAGGAGCGAAAACAACAAAAATCAAACAGACGTCATTAGGGAGATTTCGGGATATTCTGCTGAACTTATCAATCCGGTCCCGCCGAGTACCCCATCATATCAATCATTCGTTATAGAACTTTCTCATAATCAGATGCAGGAAAAGATTCACGTTGACTCGTAAGTGTCCATCGAAGAAGTCCATGAACTGCATGTTGTTGAACTGCGCTTGCAACAAGTCGTCCAAGGGCACCTGAGCGTTTGCCCCCGGGACCATCATTGGACCACTACTGCCATCGAGGGTGAAGACACCGACTTCATTGCTAGATATTGTGAGGTCGACGCGGTCCCATTGGCGCTCCGAGTAACCCTTCCAGTAAACCAAAACGCCCTTGTCGGCGAGGTTCCGGGCCGAGTACTTGTAGGAGCCGAACTTGAACACTTTGCCAGACTTCTGAAGCTCGCGTTGGTGGTCCCATTGTTTGGTAAATGGCATGAGGAATCTCTTCTTGCCTTTCTTGTTCTGCAAGGTCACCATCGCCTGCTCGATGTAGTCGTTGTAGGTTTTAAGCTGCTGTTCAAGCCAACCGGCTTGATCGTTGAGACGGCCCAGAGTAAGACGTGCGCTTTCCAATTCC